TTTGTACTGAATTGTGCTATACAAATAAATTTGCCTTGCCTTGCCTAAAACTGCAAAAAATATATCTTTATCTTTTTAAATCTTAATTTGTCACTTTATATCCCCAAATCTTTGTGTATTATTTGGAGATTTTATATGATAGCCACATTGTAGTGCCTAACTGTCACATAGAAGAAATATTCTGAACAGCTATTCTGTACATAAAGTTATATGGTGTGTAATTTGGTAAAATGATTGCATCATGAAGATGGGCAAGAAAAAAACTGGATAAAAGTGGGTATAAGGGGTATACGATTTTAACATCCAACCAAGCACTGATCTATCAGTTACATAAAATATAAAGAATAAGGAACACCTTCACACCTGAGGAAATGCCACCCCAAACCAGCAGCTAGACAAGGCAAGAAGAGCATAAATCAGACAAACAGCCAAGAGCTATGTGGCAACAGTGAAGGATCTGCAAATATCTCCAACTCAGGTGGAAAAATCCATAGCCATGCACTTCACTAATCTGACCTTCAAAAAGTAGTAGAAGAAAGAATTCAATTGAAAGCGTTTCCATTTGCTGTTTAGCCAAAAGCCTTCTAGGAGACAGAGAAAAATGGAAAAGATGTTGCTCTGGTTAGATGAGCCCAACATGGATTTTTTTTTTATCTAAAAAAGATCCTGAGCACATCGTTCTCACTATCAGACATAGTAGTGACAGCCTTATGCTGTGGGAACCATTGTCTTTTTTTCCTATCAGAGACAGGGAATCTGCTCCTAGTAAATGGTAAGATGGATGAAGATAACAGAGGTATTTCAAAAGAAAAGCTTCCCTTCTTTAAACTGGCAGAGAAATACTACATAAGACTTGAAACAAACTAATTATTCTGCTAAGTTAAATACAAAACTTTTACAATAATCTGTGTTTGAAACTAAAGTCAATTATATTTGTGTCTATTTCTACCTTTGTTATAATTCCCTGATTTATGTTGGTCCATTACATAGCATAACAATAAGATACAGGGAATTTTGTGGTTTAATTGTATGGCAACAGGATAATTCTCAAGAGTTTTAGAAAATGTTTACAGGCACTCTAAGTGCAAAAACAGGTTGCAAAATAATGTGCCCCAACTGATTCATGTAAAACTCAATGGAATAATTTAAATGAACTATATTAACTAAAATATACACATAAAAAACATAAAATAAGTTCTGCATAATTTAATAAAACAATAATACCAATTGAGGAATGTTCCTAAATGGCTTTGGGAGATGTATATATTTCTGTAGCTTCATACATCATCATCCTTTCTGATTCAGCCTTGTTGGAAATAGCTCTGACTAGATTAAATATAAGAAGCCATTGTGATGTGGGCCTTTTTTCTTCATCAAACTTCAGATCCCTAAAAAGATTAGGAACTGGACATCTGCTGGACTGGGGGTTCGGGGGGAAGCCAGATGGCTGAAGGGGGGCTGGGAGAGCAAGAAGCTCCTGTTTGGCTGATAATAAAAAAAGAGATGAGCATGATGGGGACTTCAAAAGGCAGGCACAACTGCAATTAGACTAAACTTTTTTCATATTTATTTAGATCTTACAGCCTAAAAATATCTATATAAAAGGTAAAAAAAAAAATAAAAATTTATAAAAGTTAAAACACATCCAACCCTAAAATATGTTTGTCAAAAGCATAATATAATATTTATCATATGTCAAGATAGCCTATTTTGTGCAACACATTTACAAAAAATTCTTGAGCTGTTGTGCAAGTGTAATTACCACTTCCAGAACCATCTAATTGCTGTAAGTGCTCTTCCCACTGGGCTTTCCGAAAGCAGATAGACCAAAGTCTGCTTTTAACATCGAACAACAACCTATAATGCAGCATTATCTGAATATTGTATTGTTAACCAGAGCTGTTTTGCATCTTATTCTAACTGACCATATCTATCTTCTTTAAGACCTCTGTAACAATCTGCTAATTGCTTATTTTGTATTAAACTTTATAGTTTTTTCTATTGAATTCCCTCATAAAATCAAACCATCTATGCAGCGAAGCATAAGTAACATTCCTCGTGTCTATTACATCATGTTCTGAAAGAGAAAGATCTGATCTTTTTTTACCTGCACTCTCGGTCCACCTCCTGACACTTTGGAGATGTAGCCCATGATATATTTGGCCGCCACAGTCTTTCCTGCTCCGCTCTCTCCACTGGAATACAGAGAAAATCTTTAAAAACATGTTCTGGGGGCCTCTAGGAGACATTTAAAGTTTTGCAATGGTGTCTGAGACCTAAACATATGCTTGAACAATAAATGGAAGTTGAGTGTCTGATGTTCTAATATTCTACTGAAGTTGTTTTTTTACATTTCAAAGCTGTCAAGCTTTGCTCTTGGTCTCTCCATCAGCAGCTCCACATGCTAGAAGTTAATAATTGTTAAAACAGTTTTTATATCTGCCACTGTTATCTGCTGCACCAGATGTATAAAGTTGGCAAAGAAGTATTATGACTGTGCTTAAAATAAAACTCTATTAAACTACATGCAAATTTCTTTGTAAATCTAAGAGAAGGCATAACTAAATCTAAGAGGACTCTTCAGATTTTAAATATTTGTGTATGTCCAATCAATCTATTTATAGAGATTTGTTAATTTAGAAACATGTTCCCTAAATTCAGAGAAGACAAACCTGTAAAGATAACCATTAATACTGCTCTGTGTATTAAGGATCAATTCCTTAAAGAATGACAAACGTAAGCCATTGCAATTATAAAATCTTCACTCTTTAAGAAAGCTTTTCCATAATCGTTATAAATGTATTTATTGGAACTTGGCTAATTTTTGTAGTATCACATCTGAAAGGTTAGACACTAATGAAGAATAAGAAAGCCAAGGTTTTCTCTGCTATGATTTAACCCAATGTTTTTCATGGTGTAAAGAGTTATGACTGCACAGGCAGGTTAAGTTATTTCCACACCAAACTCGTTCAGTGATGTCATTATGGACCATGCTGTGTGCCCTCGTGCACAGTAATGTTGGAACAGGAAGGGGCCCACAGTTCAGACAACAAACATTAAGACAACTCAGTCATTCAAGAGTCACTCTCCTAGCAATACTCAGATTATTCTATTGGATAACCGAACGAGCAGAAAAAATTGTCACTAAAAGAACATGTCTTCACTTCTCTAGAGTCCAGTGACAGGATGCTTTACACCACTGCTTTAAACACTTTGCAATGTCCCTGTTGATGTAAGGCTTAGATGCAACCTCTAAACCATTGGAGCAATTGCTATGAATCCTTTTAAAAAGTGTTCCCAAACTAATGTGAAGTTTATTTGAATCTTGAAGGTTTGTAGCTGCTGACGCTGCAGAAAGTTGGTGACATATGTGCACTCTGCACCTGATTTTCGACGCTCTGTGATATTGAGAGCTATCACCTTGTGGCTGAGTTGCTTTCATTTCCAATGGCTTTCACTTTTACTATCTGATGGGTGGAGTTTGGTAAAACCAACTCCCTGAAATTTACTGAGAGCAACCAATTCTTTTATAGATATATTTGTAGGACACTGCATGCCAAGATAGGAACATGGTAGTTATTAAGACACCTAAATCAAAAATATAAGGGCTGATCATTTAATATTTTTCACAATCAACTGTATAATAAACATTAGATACCTTCAGAAATAACTTTATCAAAACAAGCCCCAACTCCAGTATCGGAAAAACATGCTGTGGCGACAGTATTTCTGTAAGCTTAGTACAGTAAGTAAAATAAGTATTTGAACACCCTTTAATTTTGCAAGTTCTCCCACTTAGAAATCATGAAGGGATCTGAAACTGTCGTCGTAGCTGCATGTCAACTTTGAGAGACATAATGTAAAAAAGAAATCCAGAAATCACAATGTATGATTTTTTTTAACAACTTATTTGTATGATGAAGCTGCAAATAAGTATCTGAACACCTGTCTATCAGCTAGAATTCGGTAGCATCTTTGGGGGTGTTTTTCTGCACATGGGAAAGGGTGACTGCACTGTATTAAGGAGAGGATGAGCGGGGCCATGTATTGCGAGATTTGGGGAACAACCTCCTTCCCTCAGAGCATTGAAGATGAGTCGAGGCTGGGTCTTCCAACATGGCAATGACCTGAAGCACACAGCCAGGATAACCAAGGAGTGGCTCTGGAAGAAGCATATCAAGGTTCTGGTGTGGCCTAGCCAGTCTCCAGACCTAAACCCAATAAAGAATATTTGGAGGGAGCTCAAATTCCATGTTTCTCAGCGACAGCCCAGAAACCTGACTGATCTAAAGAAGACCTGTGTGAAGGAGTGGGCCAAAATCCCTCCTGCAATGTGTGCAAACCTGGCGAAAAACTACAGGAAATGTTTGACCTCTCTAACTGCAAACAAAGGCTACCGTACCAAATAATAACATTACATTTTTTTCAGGTGTTCAAATACTTATTTTGCATCTGTATTATACAAATAAATAGTTCAAAAATCATACATTGTGATTCCTGGATTTCTTTTTTAGATTATGTCTCTAACAGTGGACATGCACCTACGATGACAGTTTCAGATCCCTACATGATTTCTAAGTGGGAGAACTTGTAAAAAAGCAGGGTGTTCAAATACTTATTTTTCTCACAGTATATTTAAAGAAAAAGGGTTTCACCCTAAATCCAAATCTGTAGTGTCTTGTACATTACAAAGGAATTCATTTGACATGTTTCCCAGCTGCAGTTTAGGGACAGGGTTACATAAAACCTGGTACCATAGCACATAGTGACTTATAAAAGTAAACAAAGAGCTGCTTTTAGTCATTCAACAGACAAAAAGCAGATCAATGAATACAATTCTTTTTACATCAAAGTGTCCGATTAAGTGTAATCGTCAGCGTTCCCTCTCTACCCAGCCATATTAAATGAATGTTAACAGACATGCAACTCTGACAACAGAATATACTTTGAGAAGTTTTCATCTTTTGACTTCAATGTAGAGAAAGTAGTAATCACATCTGGGCATATTCTTTTCTCAGCTCCTTCCACTGTTTTCCTCTAACCTCTGCGATCCGGGTGGTTTGGCAGTAAATGACAGTGAAGTCTGTTTTTTTCTGCATGTGCCTTAAAGTAGAATCAGGTTAAATGAAGCTGCTGTGAGAAGCACAGCTGCAGACTGTTAAGGGGCTGCCAGAGGAAGTCATGGAAGCGACTCTATTACACAGCAGTCTCTATAAGGTTGCACCCATCCCCCTATGCAACTATATGCTTGGCAAATCCTGATAACATTGCATGGATTTCCTCAGCACAGTTTAAAGTCATGCAAACAGATAGAACCTCAAGACAGCTCGAACTTAACGCCTTGCTTATATTCTTAGAAATCCTCTGATCTGAATCTGACAGTATCGTTTTTCCTCTTTGGAAGTTTATCTTTGAGGAGCTATTTTAAGCTGGGGTTCCACCCAGAGTCTCATTCTCTTTCTGTCCCATTTTTGCTCTCAAATTCTAGAAGCATTGTTAAGTCAAACAGTGATTTATTAACAAAACAAGGATACAAGTTGCACAAAGACACAAAAGGAACCATGAAGTATTCAAACCTTTTCTATAAAAAGGCTGCACAGTTCAAGCAAAACTGTGGATTGAATTGCTAGACATTCTGAATGTACAGAATGTCCTTGGGATGTACTTCATTAAAATGTCACATTGGGTTAAAAGCTCTCGCCAAGCAGATAATAAAGGCTAAGAGTTTGATACCTATACATACAGTAGTTAACAAATGACAGACTTTAGATGTTTTTTCTTTAACATTTGCCCTCAAGGCCAAAGGAAATTATACCGTCTAGCATTTCAAAGATATTAATCTTTTCCAGTCCATTATAAAGCAGGACATAATATATAGAAAGGACCCCTCATGGCAGAGGTGTTCATCCCAGTGGCCATTCTCATCTCCTTTGATAGCGTGATTTACATACATTGCATAATAAAGTCCTGTTATTGCTGACACACCTTACGAACCTATGGGAAAATGGACATTGAGGTTAAAAAGGAAGGCTGCACTGGTTAAACAATAAAAGGCATGCACTAAAAGGTATTTGATTAAAAAAAGCCAAATAATATATGACTCAAAATCCAACTCCTAATAAGAGACAGCTGGTATTACTTGCTTAGCAACACCCAAAAGTTAAAAGTATTATATTGACCAGTTTAAAGTCAATCCTTTGAATCTATATAACCTTCCTACTTAGTCCTCTAAATTGAGACACATAAATCATAAATAAATAAAAAAATATAGTTCTCAATTTTTGTTTTTTGTTTATGTTCAGAGCACTGAAACATCAGAGCATCATGCTTGAAATGGCAAAAAAAAAACACTGAATAAAGGATAACAATACATACAGTTTATGCACACTTAAAACCGAAAATTAACACGTGCAATCCTGCTGTTAATTACATATTAACGAGAAAATATAAATTATTATAAAGGGAAGAACAACTGCAATTAAAACTTCTTTTTGTAAGACCTTGGTTAGGAAGCCGCTAGGCCACCTCAATTAATGTTTTCCATATAGAACATTTCCAGACGTGAAACAGCTGGATTTACAATAAAATCAGGTTTAGGTCAAACTTCAGTAAGACCTTATGAGCCTGATTAAATCTAAAGCTGCTGTAATTCATCCTTTACAGATGGTAAAAAGAAACCACAGCCTTTTTAAATTATAAGGTTTCTCTAACCATGTACTGCACACCAACACCTCAGATTTGAACAGTCACCTACAAGAACTGCCTTTCTCCAAGTCTGTTCAAAAAGACCAGGAGGGACCACAGCTTCAGTCAAACCTCTCCCATCATACAGGGTGTACTTTGTTTTTAGAGCTCTGATTATGACCTAAAAGGAAAATCGACAACTCCCATGCTATAATTAGAAAACAAACAAGCCAGTAATTACATAAGACCACCTCTTTACATTAAAGTAAATATTACATATTAGAAGACAGTGCAGCTTCTCATTATTACTGCAATCCTTTTCCCAGCAAATGTGAAAAAGAGCCAGCGCAGGCTGCAGCTGACCACAATGCACGGCCTGTAGTCCTCTGCAGCTTTTGTGTACCGATACCAGTTCACCATAAAACCACCTTCCAGCTTTTGTTTGCTGACTTGGTCAATCATGAAATCTCCCTCAGCGGCTTTATGGTGGAAACTGAACCAGCAACTACTGGCTGTCCAAACAACAGCCAAAGTGCTGAAGCAGGGGTCATTCATAATGAGGTGCGCAATAAGAGAGCCACACCGCTCAGATGACTGGCACACAGGATATAACTGGAAACCTGACTGCACACATTTCAGTCCATAGCTTTGTGGTTTAAAAATGTTCAAACTAATCAAAAGGCACAGGTGTTTTGTCCAAACTAAGAGGTTATTCAAAAATACCCATCCTGACTAAATTTAGCAGCACTAAATAAACTCCCTCCTCTGAATATAAACAAATTCTTTAACATTTTAGATTTGACTGAAACTGAAACCATTATGATGGAAAAACACCACAGGAACCCATTATTCTCAGTCAGAAAGCAGGACGAAAAGATGTGGTGGAACCAGTTTGGCCTGTTCTCCTGTTACTCTCACATATTATGACCTAAACAGCTTTGTCCTGCTTCGTTATCTCATAAATTTCTCTAAAGGGAACATTTCCTGCTTTTGCATACTTTTTCCAGATCCTGAATTTTCACAATAAATAAAATAAATGAAGAAAAATCTACTTAAAAGCGTCATGTAAAATATTCTAGTGGCTGCTGCATTTGTGATCCTAAAGCATTGGATTATTAAACGAGAAACATATTTCTAATGATTTTAAAAGGTCTCACCTGATGATAACACACTGGTTCTCACGGTCAATCATCATGTTCCTGTACATGTTGTCTGCCAGAGCATAGATGTGAGGAGGGTTCTCATACTGGGCCTACAAACAAAATCAGAGAAGAGCTTTGTTCAAATGTTTTGTTCAGCATAAATAAAAGATGAAAAACAAAAACAAAATAATTTTCATGATAAGCAAGTTATTCAATAGAGATGAAAACTAAAACTGTAGTTTATTGAAATATTTTAAGACTAAGTTTTGCATATCACTTTAAAAGTCATTTGAATGCCACAACGGCTAAGTGGCAAAAATGTGGAAAAAAAGGGCTTAGAAGAAAAACATTTTGGGCAATATGCAAAACACTGTTTGTGCAGTGAAAATAAAATCTTACATCCACACTGAACACTGAAGATGGTGTTGGAAACATCATGCTATGGGGATATTCATAGCAGGATACACTTAATACACTGGCAAAAATCAAAATCTAAATAAGTCTTTTGCTCTTAAAATAAGTGCATTTGTTCTTGAATTGAGGAGATAAAGGAGACATTTTGCCAATGGAACAAGAGAATTTAGATTTAAAATAAGAAAAAAATTGATTGTCTTATTTCACGTGCATATTTTTTAATTATCCTATTTTAAGAGTAAAAATACTCATACCATTGGCAAATTATTTCATTTACCTATTCAAATTAAGGGTAAATACACCAGACTTAAGTATTTTTTACTTATTTCTAGATAGTTTTTCCAGTGCAGGAACATGAGAAAATGCATGAAGCTAAATAAAGGTAAATTCTGAAAGTTTAGGTGTGTCCCATGACATCAGGTTCTACTGCTTCATTTATAATCAGGTGTATCAAAACTAGAGAGCAGCTAAAAAAAAGACAGCAGCTCTTGAAGTTTTTCCTCTCCACTGTCGCTACAAGCATGCTTAGTGTGAGGGATTGTATTTGAGTCAATGAGTCAATGCAATCAACTGGTTTCCTTAGATAGAAAACTTTGTATCAATTTGACTGTATGAGATGACATGTGTTGTGAATTTGGCCCTATATAAATAAACTGAATTGAACGGAATTGTAGACGTGAAATCTTTATTTTATCTTGCAATTATAAACAAATTGTTGGTCTATCAAATGAGGTCTGATTTAAAAAAAACTTTTGCAAGGCACAATTTTTTTTTAAACAAAACTCTCTTTTAAAGCTAAAACCCATTTTGAAAAACCTCTGTTTGCTATACAAAAAGCAAAATAAATAAATTATAGGTTTCCATAAAGTTATTCAAGTGTCAAAAAAGGCTGATGAATTTTTCTTTTCCATTTTTTATCGTTTCTTGTAGTTGTTTGCAGAGTTCTATTTTTCAGTTCTTTTAAATGATCGGCGTAGAGGAAAAATATGTAAACAAACTAAATGCTATGACGTCTGGCACCAACTAAGGACAAATAATCAGCTACCAACAATTACAGTAGTGGAAACAAACTCCAGATCAAGCATTACAGCTTTTACATTTCAGCTGCATTTGTTATCTTTACAAACTGCTGTATGCATGTACATTTGTTGAACTTAGCATTTATGTGACATCTACTTGTGTAACAAAGTAGATCTGTTGTATACAAACCAAAAGAGTTGATCCACAGAAAAAATATTCCTGTACTGAAAAGATTCACTTGGAAGGAGGAAATAACAGAGCCCTCATAATATGTAGAGTGGTATTATTTTCACCCTTCCTGCACCCTGCATGTTTTTTTTTTCTAATTTTTTTGAACATAAATATATGCACTCTTGTTCCTGCGGTTCAAGAAACAGATATTTAATATCTATCGTGCCCTGCTTAATGTGCTAAAAAATTCAGTATGGTTGTGCATGATCACTAAGAAAGTAAGGTGTTCTTGAACAGGAGTGATTCCCAGCATTCCCACAGTCTATTAGATATTTAACTGGATTTCAGTCTGCTCCTGGCTTAAGGAGATGGGCCCACACTTAGCAGGCAGGCCAAGAGTATATGCAGACTTGAACAGGAGGTGCTGCCAAGCACACTGAATGGCTGAATTCAGTTTCTGTCAGAAACATCTGCACCAAGCCGTTGGAAAGTTTGAACATCATCAGCAGCCTTTGTCTTTCAGCCGGTGATCATTGGAAATTTCCTCAGATAAAATGCTTGGTGTATTATGTCATTGTCTGGATGTACTTACAGCACCCTGATACATCTCAATTTCCCTCTCTCCGAAATATGGCATCTGTTTGAAGGGGTTGACAGAAATGAGCACAGGGCCGATGTATGTCTGGAGAGAATGAGTGTTAAAGATCATAGCAAACAAAAGAAATAACTTCAAATTACAATCAGTTTGTAGTAAGGGTGGACTAGTACTCAGTGAGCTAGTACTCAGTGCAGCAGTGAGCTGGGTGATCATAGCTGGACCTAAATAAGGGCTTACAAATCCCAGAAAAAAGACCTTCCATGTAGTGCTGAGGTTTTATGCTTCGAACATAGAAGGCTGCTTATGGCAAATAAAGCTGCTATTGTGGGTGGCCCACAGTGACCCACAGCCTTAGCAGAGAGACCTCCCAGTTACAGCCATTCATTGACCCAAATCAAATGCCTGACTCAGTGCTGAAGAGCCTAAAACAACCAGCATTTACTAAACTTCATGATCCTAAGCGCTGCCAAAGTGGCGATGAGGTTCATGCAATGAGCCGCTTTAAAAAACATTCAAAGAGGCCATTCATTCATCGTTCTGCACATAATCAGCAGCTTACGTCTAAAGCAACAGCTGCATGTTGAAGAAAAACTAAATGATGCATTTGTAAAGAATACTGAATCACGATCCACAATGCAAACCAGAAGAAAAAGGTTTTTCCTGTAGGCAAACTGCTGTCGCTCACAACTTTTTCTTTACATTTTGCACCCACGTGTGAGATAAGCTAAAGCACGTCTGACTCACTAAAGGAAAAGCAGTCAGATATTTGGGTAAGGGGGCACACAAAGAGGCCCTTTCCTACCACAGCAAAACATCAGGGGGAATTTGTCACCTTCCAACACTGACGTGGAGGATTACTCATTGCTAATATCAGTAAGTGGGCATTAGGTTATTCTGGGAACAGTGGGAACGAGACAGCTCGGCCATTTCTCACAGGGGTACGAACAGCCAATGGGAGCAAAGGATACAAAGATGTAGTCATCCATGTATCTCTTCTTGAGGTTGTCCACGATCCCGTCCTCGCTGATCTTGCTGAGGAGGACCATATCATCCACACCGCTCTGCTTGACATTGTGGCTCTGCCAGTGGTACCGGTAGTGGCCCCGGCTCCCCTGAAACAAAAAAAACACATACAATGCACCATTGTTAATACCCTCTGAGAAACACAATGGTATGAATGAATCTAGAATCTGGCATCAGGGTAGACCAGATGGTCTGTTACAATACACTCTACAACTTGAGGCGATGTGGGTTTTGTCATCCTGTTGAGCTAATCAGATAAACCTCTGGCCCAAAACGTCAACATGTGCAAAAGTTGTGATTTCTGTGACACTGTAAACTATGTTTACTTTATAATTTTGCAAGTTCAGATTGCCACAAATGCTGCGTGTTATTTACTCAAGTGTTGAAGAAGCAGAAACCTGACTTTCATCCACATCTCAGCTCTTTCTGGCCCTACAACGTTGTTTTTCTTGTAGCAGAGTTTGTCTCAGGAGATCTGAGGTCATTCATCATGTGCTATGAGTCAGAGCCGCTTGGCTACTGTGGACGAGGGTCACAGTGTGCTGCGAGGAGTGAGCCTCTTTCTCCTGGATGGAGAACAACTTAAAGCCACTGTGAGTATGTGGTGCAGCAGTCAACATGCAAGTTAACTCTAAACTTCCCACATCAGCAGTGAGGAAATATGAGCGGAGAGTAAAGCTGAAAATACAACTATTCTCTATTGGACAGAAAGGAAAATCCGTGCATTAACTCTAAAACTGCATATGGGATTAAAATAAGATTTCCAGCAGGACAGATTTAAGATCTTTTCATGTTTTCTATGTATAAATGGTTAACACAAAAGGAATGACAGTCTCAAACAGCTTGCATGAAAATTGTCTTCTTTCATAAGGGTTCATATGTTAGTTTCAAACTAAATCTTTAAAGTTCTTAGAAAATTACAGGTTATGGAAAAAATCTCACAGCCTAAGGTGAGTGAATGTGGGAATGTAATGCTTTAGACTCTGTTGTAAATACAGCAGAAATGTAATGGGGATTATGGTTTAGGGTAAAACTTTGGATGGATAAATCATTAAAAAAAGGAATTCTACATTAAAGAAAAAATTAACCATTTCTTCACACAAAGTGTTAGCGCATTAACATTTGTTAATTTAAAACCATATCTATCAGAAACAGTGAAAAAAATCAGAACAGCCTATAGAGAACATCTGCAAGAACAGTTAAGAAATACCTGAAATACCAGCCTGCATTGGCTCTTGTTCACATTTACTGGGAAAAGGATTACAATAATAATGGCAAGTTGCACTGTCTCAAACTTTAGTTTGCAGCAACAAACCTGTAAAAGCGACATCAAAATTAAACTGATGGTTTTACAACAAATCCTGCAGATTTCAGATCTGGGATTCTTTGAAGCACTATACTGGCTGAATGTTGATAAAATACATTCCATAACCTTTTAAAATGAGGTCTGACTACTAAGATCTCAGAATAAACAATATAAAAATGGGTTAAAAGTAGCTCCATGTTGACAATATTTGTTATGACATATATTGCTAAAAACTCCACTAAATCTATTACAAAAAGTTCAACAGCAATAATCGGGACACTAGTTACAGTAGTAATAATTTGTCTTAATCTAGTAAAATATTAACTTTTCCCTTCCTTTTATTGAAAAATGTGATGTAATGTTTGTATTTTTTAAGGCATCATACAGAAAAAGATCATTTGAATGTCGTTCCACGTCTGACAGGAAAATACATGCAAAGGTTGGCTTGGAATAGACAAAGAGAAATACATGCAGCTGCTGCAGAACTATTGAAAACTAAAGGATCAAAGAGAAACAATACAAACTAATAAAACTCACTTAAGTTTCAGTAGTTAACTTTAAGTTACTAAGTGCATTAAAAGGGCCAGAAGCAACTCATATCCCGCAGGGTGAATTTATTAATTTAAGGCAACCAAATTAGAACCACTTCACATAGCAGTGGTGAGGAATGTTAACAGTGTTTCAGACTAATTCAGGGAGTGTGTTACTGCAGGAGAAAAAATGTTGTTTAGGGAGTCCTCACATAGTGTAATAGTTTTCGAAACGTCAAGTTCAGTCAAGTTTGATTGTAATCCAAGTATCATGAGTGTTTAATAGAGCTATGGTTGCACTGAAATCAAAAATGAAAAAAGGAGAAAAAATAGATACATTAAACATTTGTCCCTAAAAAAGTTTTTTTTCCTGTGTTATTAAAATGTTTTATAAAAAGTGCGTTTTTAGGTTTCAAAAACTAAAACAAAGTAAACATAAGAAGCAGTTATTAGATTTTTTCTTTTTTTTTTGCCCTTTCCTTCCCTGTGGTGCGGGTGTCAGAATTTTTTTTTTTTTTTTTTTTTTTTTGCTAAAAAGTATAAACTGCCCTCCAAACCAATCTGGTCTAACTAAAAACAAACCCTTTTTTTTAGCTTAACAAGCCATTTTAGGGTCATGTTACAAGCTTTTTAATCAGATGTTAGTCTGAACATTGAGTAGGCCACCCCAAAGCTTTCATTTAGTTTTTTTGTCCACTTCAGGCTGAACTTGCCGTTATGATTTGGATTGCCGTCATAGTGCATAAAGAAGTTGTACTTGAGCTTCAAGTTAAAATAATTCAGCATGTCTGGTATAAAACAGAACTCACTGGTGCTGAAGCAGCAGAGCATCCCCAGAACCTCATAGTATCACTGTCATGCTTGACTTTTGGTTTGATTTTCTGGATTTTTTTATACTATCTGCAACAGGATATGAAACTAAACGAAAAAATGTTTCCTAATGTCAACCTAACTTTCTCCTAAAGGTTTGGGGATCATCAAGATACTAAAATTAGCTTTATTTTCTCTTTGATCGGCAGTGCTTTTGGCCTCGGAACTTCTACATGGAAAACTATTTTCTGGCCCGTTTTTTTCTTATTGTGGAAACGTAAACACTAAATTAACTGAGGCAAATGAGTCTATGTTTTCCCCTTTTGTAGATAATGGTTCCCATTGTGGTCCAATCAAGCTCAAAGGCCTTAGAAGTAGCTCTGAAACCCTTTCCAGACTTTCCGATTACTATACTTAGATGTGTTAATTTCTTAGATGTTTAATGTAACTCAACTTAGCAATTGTATATGTATGGATTTCTGATTCTGGCAGTAATCAGGACATGATCAAACTAAAGAAAATGAACCATAAAATTTTGATCAATCACAGTAAATTCATAACTTAACACGGCTCTCTGTAATATTAGGACGGCAGTGAAATGTATGCGTAAAGCAACAGTAATACTCAGTTTTATGCTTTTCCCTTATTGTCTAATACCAGTTTATAAATACATGGATTTTAACATTTACATAAGGATTTTTTTATACACAATAACTTGACACAACACGTCATCTCACTGGATTTGACTGATTTGTTCTTTTGATTTAGTATATTCAAATCATAATTTTACCAAAAGGCAGAGAGCTTTGACTTGAAAAGAGAAGCTGATGTCAAAGATTTTTGGCTCAACCTCAAAGTGAAAGTATTCCAACATGCTATATAACATTCCCGTGCAATGTAATAAACTAGGGATGTAGGAGGTTAATGTGAAATGTTTTAAGAATTGCCTCATCCATTTGAGCCCTCGATCGTTCAACGAAAGAAGTGGACTAGAAAAATACCCTTATGCACTCCAGTAAAATAAGGGAGTAGGTACACAGAAAAGGAGGGTCTTGCAAACATCCAGAAGGTGTTTAGTATAGTCAGACTCCTCTACTTGCTGCTGAGCAGCACAACAGCAGCCAGATGTGACAGTTTATGGTTTAGGGTCACTTCCTAAGTGCATTGTTAACCTCTGATCTAGGTCTACTGTTTTTTAATAGTTCTCTGCATACAAACACACTTAAATCTTCAACAAATCAGACTGAAAATCTATTATATCACATTTTTACTATCAAGACTGCCAAAACCATTCTGCATCATTTCAACCGCAACTTTTTAGTAACAGTAATTAGTTATTAATCAGATGTTTTTTATTCAACCTTTAAGGGACATCTCTTTCACATTAAGAGCCGACTGTTTCATACCTTTAGCAGCAATCACTTAAAGTTTGTAGAAGCAAATACAAGATTTCCTCATGAGATGAACAACTACCTCGAGTAGGGGCAAATAAAGGAAAATTTGTCAGTCATGATGGAAGCGCTAGAAAACATGTTATACAGTCTGTCAGCTTTAGGCTTTTAAACTTTCAATTATTCAGTCTTTTCCAGGTTTCAAACAGATTTAAATCCAACCACAAATGTAAAAATTCAAAAACACCACATATTCCAGTATCTTAGACACCTAGTCCAGCATTAAGGCTAAGGTGTTCCCAGGCCCGCCAAGAGTCACTCCTGCATGTCCTAGGTCATCCCATGAGCCACTTCCCTTGCAAGGGATGCGTCCAAGGGGCATCTGAAAAACAGGCTTAAGTTCAAGGCTATATGCAGTAACCCAACAAGGCCTTGTTTTTGTTTGGAAAAAATGCAAATAGGAACAAATGAACAAGTCCACCCCTTTGGAATAGGGGTCGTTTGGCTTCTTTTGTTAGCCTGCAAAGCCCATACATGTCTATTATATTCTATAGACTCAATGCGATTTCTGACATTTTGAATTGAAAAAGCTTCCTGGATGGGAAGCGAAATGTCTTCAAACTTGGAAACAAAGTCCAATGGTGAGTTTTTTTACTTTTTTGGAATGGCCATAGGTGAGGGTAGGAACAGAGACTGACCAGTAAGTTGAAGGCTTTGTCTTTTGTCTCAGCTCTCTCTTTACCACAACAGACATTCTTCCTTCACTGGTGAAAAGGACCCTGAGATACTTGAACACCTCAACTTGAGCAAAGACCTCTCCTCCATCCTGAAGAGGAGAAGCAACCCTTCTTCTCATTGAAAACCATGGCCATAGATTAGGAGGAATTGATTCTCTTCTTGGCTACTTTGCACTTGGCTGCCCTAGTGTATACGGTATGACTTGGTGGATGGGAGCCAGCAGAACCACGTCATCCACAAAAAACCGGGAACAAAACCCCCGGGCCCCAAAACAAAACCCCTCCAGCCCTTGAGTGCACTTCGAAATCCAATGC